CAAAGTTTTATGTGGCCTTTTTGTCTGTGTTGGCCCACTGTGTGTATATAATATACATATATAAACATTGTGGTCATCCATAGTTACACAGGGACAACAGGATCTCGAATTATGATCATTTCAAGAAAACCGGTGTATAACGACCATGTGGTTATAGGAATTTAAATTTGAAATGGAGTGAATGCACATCTACATTACATATTAATTGCCAGGGTTGTTTGGAGAACCATTCAGGGCAGTGACATAACTCGGGTGGACAAAAATCCATGTCATCCCAGAACAAGAGCAATAAATATATAGTGTAGCATAGTGGTATTAAAATTTAAAGCAGCGTTTATCTATATTGCACAGCAGAAGACCTAAAGGCTATATATGTCCTGGTTTACGAGACGTCTTCTATTGCTAAAATATGTCAGTGTTGGGATCATTACTTTTGAAAACCTTCATTTTCCTAATGTATTATATGTTATAATATCTTTTACACATAATTTAGTTAGAAGCAATGAAGGTTTCATTTTTGTTTCAGTCAGCCGTTTTTTATCCGTAAATAAGCCTTCTCATTGTTTTTGCAGAATCTTGAATTTTAAAATAGTAGCCTATATAAATGTGGTTCAAAAATAATCCATCCCCAAACCGCAGTGCCAAAATGTCCCATTAAATGAGATGCTTATTTGAGGATAAATACGGTAATGATAAAAATGAGTACGCAGGTAAAAAAAAAATCAAAGACGTGCTAAATAAAATCTTATTTTTTTTCCATAATAATGCTATTTATGAAACAATTTTAGTCAATTTACTTTTTGCAAGCTTTTTTGGCTCACAAAAATAATAAAGAGGCCCACGGGCCTAAATGGTCACCCAAGTACTAGTGCAATACTACTAGAACTTTTGAAGTTTAGAATGATGGCAGATTCTTTGTCCATAGACGTATGCACATGCAATAACACTTGGTTATGGCAATTCTGGCCCCCTAACTTAGCTCCTTAGGGGTTCAGGGTCACAGAAATTATACCAGCAGACTGGCATCCCCTAGCAAGCGATTTCTGTCAAATATGAACACATTCCAATGATAAATATGGAAGATATTTTTCCTATATATACAACAGAAAACTACATCCCCTTCCCACAGGCAAAGGGGGGAGGGGGGCTGGGGAGCATGAAAATCAGGTTCTAGCATTTCTGGAACTAAAGGAGAAGATTTTTGAAATTTCCCCAAATTTTCCCTTTTTTGGCCCCTTACTCTTTTACAAAATTTGTTTCCCTGATCAAGGATGCTTCATGGCAAATTTGGCCGAAATCCATCAACTGGTTCTCTAAAAGAAGTCAAAAATTGTTAATGGACGACGCACGAAAGCGGATGGCAATAGGTCACTTCGGCTTTGGTGACCTAAAAATCGGAACTTGTTTCATAAATATTATATTTAATGGAAGCTCATTTAAGATCCTCTAATGTATTTATTAATATAAAGAAACAGATTATGTGAAATCAATTTCATTAAATTTAATAATATATCATTTCTTATAATCCATGAATACAATATTCAGAGCATATGAAACCAATCGAAGTCCCTAGGAATAGTATAGAAAAATCCTAACACCATTTTCAGGTGAGATTTCCCCCCATCACCATATATATATGTGGAGGTCTGTCTAACTTCAGTTAACAAGCCATAGATGTATTCCATTTCTTTTAAGTCATCATTGTTGATGGCTTTGATCTGGGTCAGAATAAAATAAACCACAACAGTTTATATGATTAAGATTATTTCAAATATATTTCACTGATTTCCATCTTTTATACATTCAGTCTAAGGCCTTTTTAAAGACACAATTCAATCACAAAATTTAGGCTCCTGCAGTCCTGGTTAGGATACCGTAAATTGGGATATTTTGGATAAGGGGGAGCTGGATACAATTTGACACACGGATGTTGAAAACGCCAAATTTTGACACACAGATGATGGAAATGCCGAATTTTAGACGAACCAAAATAAAATCACCCCGTTTTGACTAAAAAGCACCAAATACAATGTATTCCCAACACCAAAATATCCCAATTTACGGTAAATCATTGTCACAAAAAGTATATAACATTTTATTTCCAAAGATGATGAATTAATATGAATATTTACCAAATATCAATAACATCAGAATATCCTACTCTTTCAAATTATGTCAGTGTTGGAGTGTGACAGTTAACCAGTGATTCAATATCTTGCAAAAAATAATAAAATATGGTTTAACCCTGTAAAATAATGTCCTTCATACATTTTATGCCATTAATGAAAGTTATTTTATAATATGTTTTCCAGTCATAGTCATCAGATAACTTAGGGAATGGAAATGCCTCTATTTACAGCAGTCATTAATATATTGACATCCCCCGATATAGTCCATAGACATTGATGATAATTGTAAGAAAAGAACACTTTTTAACAGAACAAAGAAAATCAGGGTGCAGTCAATTCTGAAAGATATCTAATCGTGTTGCATATTTCGAAAAAAGTAGCAAGGAATAACAAATCCAAAGTGACAACTAACCACCGACACATTTTCTTTCATTTGAGTGTCTCTTACACATCCAGATAAAATAATATTGACTGGAATTAAGAGAAAAAGTTGAAAGTAAGCGTTTAACACAAAAGTCATGATCTCCCATGAATTAAAAAAAAATAAAAAAATTGCCACTATCACTTTAGTCCAGTAATGGCAATTAAACTCCTTAGTATCAATGCAGACTACATTTTTAGTACTTATTAAGGTCCTCACTCACCTAATACATCTTAACGCTTCGCTACACATTTATGGATCATTGCATATATCTTTTTTATTATAAGCCTATAAGGTGAGGATTCCGACCAACACATTCACAACCCTTTCTGGACATTCTTTCTAATTTCTTTACGACTTCCCTTCTTCTTGGGGTTGTTCGAAAGTAAAAGTTCAACACAAAAGTCATGATCTCTCATGATTTAAAAAAACTTTTGCCATTACAGTACAGTAAAGGCAATTAAACTCATTAGTTATCAATGCAGACTACATTTTCAGTACTTATAAAGGTCCTCACTCACCTAATACATCTTAACACTTCGCTACACATACTAGACATTCATTTATGGTTCATTGCAGATATCTTTTTTATTATAAGGTGAGGATTCCGACGAACACATTCACAACCGTTTCTGGACATTCTTTTCAATGTCTTTTCGACTTCCCTTCCTCTTGGGGTTGTTTTGGACTTGAGGTGATCTCCAAAGTACTCATGAATTTCTGAAACTTCTTTTTTTGTCCAAGGCACTCTATTTGTACGCCTTGGAGGTCGCCTCTTCTGAACAACCATTTCTTCCTCATCTTCACTATCACCCTCCTCAAATGCGAAGTTATCATCAGGTGTTGAGCTGCATGTTGCTCCTCCTACATCTGGCAGCTGTACAGTGGTGTCCTCAAGGCACTCAATTTCTGGTGAGTTAAAAGCCTCATCTTTGAGAAGAACAACATCTGGAAAGCATAAACAAAATAATTTTTAAAAAAAGGGTATCACAAAACATACAAATCCACTTACGACTCATGTTGACCATTGTATGTATACACTGAGATCAAAATCTGTTCTGAAATCAAGTCACTATTATAGTGATAAGAAAATTTAGGGCAATTAGTTAGTATTATCGCCGGATGACAGAAGGTGTTAACGATTCATTTACTATAGCATTGGATGAACTATTGATAGCATACCAACTTAAGTACACTACAGCCTCTGTGATTGGTTGATGGGCGGAGTCTGTCGAGCATTGACAAAGTAACCCAACAGCCAAGAAAACATGTGATTTTGTTAGAGCTGAAGCATTCCTTTTATCACAAAAGGTACGCCACACCAGTTTAATTGGTCTATTACAACGCCCCTTTCATCTCATCAGTTCTCATGACATGAATTAAACGTACAACTGGATGCACTGCAGTCGTCAATCAGGTCAAATAGCTATAGTGTTTCAAAATGCTGTCACATATGGTAATTAGTGTTTTGACAGATTTCTGGAAAAGGAGTGGTGGGCGGTACTTTAAACCTTTCCAACGCACTCACACTGCCGTAATACACATAACATAACATAAGGAACTTGCCATTCACAAAAATGCTCAGGGTCGTTTCTACTCCAAGGGTAAGCTATTTTCAAAATTGTGAAAACATTTTAATCAACAAATTCTCTGGCACCAATGATTCAGGAGACTCAAAGAAAAAAAAAGTTACAAATAATGTACTCTCCTTTATGAAATACCAAAAAGGACATCTCGTCTATATATATTGTGAAGAAATTAGAAAAAAACCTGTTAGACAATGACATCTGTACTACTGAAAAGGTGCCTTCGTTGTCATATATAAGTCGTCATTAAAAAACTACTTGAATAATGAATTTAAAAAAAATCTCACATGTTCCCTCGGGGGGAAAAAAGGCCTGGTCGACTTCCCCATAAGCTCCACCCCTAACCAGTCAAAGCGAGCATATATGTAACCGCGGCCTGTCAGAGAGCTTGTTATTGCATAAAGGATTTTGATTGGTCAAGTAATCCGATATAATACTATCACTACTTTGTTCAATGCTATAGTAAATGAATCATTAACATCTTCTGTCATCTGGCGATAAATTTTGACCTTGATTTTTGATCTAGCAGACTAGCACCACCCTGAATAGGTTTAGTTTTAAGAGCAGATCTTTTTCTGGTAATGTTCATCATGACTTGTATTAAAAATGTAAATATATGAAACTGATACAACTTATATAAACTCAATAAATTCAATATTACATGAACACTCATGTAAGATTCTCTATCGCAGTTAACACAAAAAAGTGAGAACATGAAATACTAAACTTGTAATTTTATAAATGTCTCCACTTACCCTCAAACTGGATTTCTGACAAGCTCTTCCCCATGAACTTGTTTGACAGATTCATGTCCTGGATCATCATTAACTTTGCCACCTGCAGGCGTTCCACCACTCCTGATAGCTGGCGATAGTGTTGGAGATGTGTCTTCTTGGAGTGGCCCAGGTGGTCACAAACCCAGTTCAGTTCGGTATCTTTTAGAGACAACACCTGAAAAAAGCCAGTTTAATGCTTGAAATGTAGTTGCTTTTCACTGACAGGTTTAATACACTTTCAAAAGTCTGAATTTGATGCTATGCATTAAAATATTTTAGTTTTTTTTGTTAAAGAAGGAGGCAAAGTACCAATTGACGGATCGCCAGTCCAAGTTAGCCACGCCCCCAACATCTCTTTGACGGGCCTTTTGATTACAACGTCATAATGGAATGTCGTCATCGTATTATGACTTCACAATAAAAAGGCCAGTCAAAGGACATTGTGGGCGTGGTTAACTTGGGGTTGGCGATCCGTCAATTGACCTTTGACCTGTTTTCCTTTTACATTCGAACCCAGAGAAATTATAAGTCTTCTTGCGCGGGAGGCAGAAAAGCTGACTTCCGTTTCAGCATGGCGTCAAACCACTGGTCAAACGCTAAAAATGTACCATTTCTCCAAAAATACCTGAAGGATTGCGGTGTAAAGTTTAGTGGTTACCGGAACGATAAGCTAATCTCTCTGGTGGAGTAATCCGACAAGCAGTACATGTTTTGTCTCGCTATTCGTTACTTCCAGTCAATGTTCATAGTGCATATTTCACGACCAGTTTGCATTTTACATTGGCTAACCAATCTTGTCTTTCACCAGTTATATAATATTATACAATTTTTTATTTTTTTTAGGTTAATACAAGGATTTGTTAACCTGAGAAAGGTGCATGATAACCTTGCGTGCAGGAGTTTGCAAATTGCAGGTTAATATTGCATTTTGTCAAAACCAGTGGGAGGTATATTTATATTGGCCAATCACAGAAGAGTGATTTACGGGGTCATATAACAATGGCATATGCCTGATTTGATACCAAATCCCTGACTGATCCCTGCATCGGTGTCAGGTCGTTTCGCCCTGGGTTGTTTTGCGTCGGGTCGTTTCGTCCTGTTTCACCCCATAGACAGTATAGATATAAATATAAAACTGGTTGTAAATTATGGTTTATTTAGTTCGTTCAGTAGCATATTTGGGTATTTTCCTGTCTTGTTTACCTTCCGCGAGTCATGTGTGCAGCCAAAGACTGATGAAAATTCACCATATTGGTTGTTTACATTGACGACAACCGCGGGAGGAAGTTGCCCAAATCTCGCGACATCCGAGAGCTAAACGTTAGTTTTTCTAGGGATGGGAAATAACTCCTGTTGCAAATCTCTGGGTTTGAATCTCGGCTATTCTGTATTTGTTTAATATTTCATAACATATGCACAAGACCAATCACAACAGGTCATCATCAGTGACTCAGGTGACCTAAAATATAGATATTTACAAGGATATTAACAACTTACCTGTGTGAGAGTTGCTGTGTACTTTCGTAGAGTCACGCTAGTGATTCTCTCAGGGTGGGACAGAGAGAGCTCCTTGCTTACACTCTTTAAGGAGTCGTAGCTCCTTACAGGTCCATTTCCTAAGATGTAAATTTTCACAAGTACAATTATAGATATTCAAATTTCAATGAATGAATTCATAAACATGCATGCAATGAATACTAGATTACTGTAACATCATGGACACCACTTTTAGCCTCGTAACATTGTATCCCTTTGGTCTTTTTTTTCTTTACCCTTCCAAAAACCTGTCGAGGTGGGGATTACACCCGAGTTACATTGTATCCCTTTTGTCTTTCATTGTTTTCGTTATCCATCTTGCCTGTCTTTAATAACATAGAATGTATGTAAAACTAACCTGTAGTCCCGCAAAGGAAATTATTGGTTGGAAGAATCCCAGCCTCTTTGCGCACATCATGCCTTGTAACGAAGTCCAGGAGACCTTTGGTATCATCAGGAATCAAAACTGGCACAGGCCTGTTTCTCTTTAAAATGAAGAGATATTGATACAATTATTGTTTTTGCCTATTTCAACTTATATAGCATGTCTTTGTTAATTTATGTTTTGGATAATTTACTTGGTGGAAAAGGATGGTTTTATATTAATAATTCTAGTCTAGATTGAACCGTGAAATCTTTGAAACCAAGAGAATTACGAAATTGCACAAATTGTACACTACATATTTCTATAGAAGAATTGAGTTAGGTAATGATTAAGTATTGAAAACTTATACATTAGGTCTTCTTTTTAGCTGCAGATTCATAGATTTTTAAGACAATGCAACTTAACCAATTAAACAAACTTTACATGTGTGTGTTTTCTTAAAAAAAGAGAAAATATGACAAATGCAAAAATACAGTACACTGTATACATAACTGGGGAGAAAAGTTTATGGCATACCTTTCCTCTAACTATCATCAAATCCTGGGATTTCAACAGGTGGAGTTCCAGCTCGGAGAGGTCACTTGTTATGCTTTTG